CAGGTGTGGGCTCTGCACCCCAAGTGCACATCACCGGGCCCGAGCAGGACGGGGTGCGCGTGGTGTGCATGGCTTCAGGCTGGTTCCCGGAGCCCCAGGTGCAGTGGAGAGACCCCCGGTGGGAGCAGCTCCTGGGGTTCTCCCAGGTTCAAGCCCAGGACCCTGAGGGGCTGTTCATTGTGGAGGCCGCCCTGGTGGTGAGAGACAGCGCTGTGGGGAGTGTGACCTGCTCCATGCTCAACCCCATCCTGGGCCAGGAGAAGGCCATGACCATTGTCCTTCCAGGTCAGCACTGCTCCCCTCCCCTTCCCACTCCCTGCAGGGCCAGAGTGAGGGTCTGGCACCCCCAGGAAACTGGGCTGGGGGTTCCTGGTTTCCTGATGGTGTGTCTGTGGGTGTCTGTCTGCAGAGCCCTTCTTTCCCCGGGTCTCCCCCTGGCAGCCGGCTCTCCTGGTCATCCTGCCCTTGCTGCTGCTCCTGCTCCTGGGGGCTGCCTACTGCACCTGGAGAGAACATTCTAGAATGATGCCAGAACTGGGAGAGCTGTGGGAGCTGCAGCAGCTGAGGAAATGGGGGATTCTGCAGAAGTTTATAGAGAATGACAGACAGAGCATAGAAGATGCTCTGAAGGACACAGGTGAGGTGTGACAGGGCCAGGGTGGTGAGTGGGCAGGGGAGGCTGGGAAGGACAAGCGTATGTCTGAGCAGATCCAGAGACATCAGACTAGGTGACTAGGAGCCCAGAGAGGACAGAGTAGCCTGAGCTACTCGAGTCTCTAGTTGGAATTTCTAGGACACAGAAAGGCTTGTGGTTTCGATAGGCTCACAGGTTTTCTTCCTATTGGTTGAGTTTATGTTTTTGTTGTTGTTGTTGTTGACTCTTTCAGCTGAGCTCCAGGCAATGCTAGGTAAGCTCCGTCTCCCTCCTGACCTCTGTGTCCCCTCATAGCAGACATTCTGGTCCTTAGCTCACCTGTCTCCTGGTTGCCTTTCAGCCCAGAGGAAGGCC